ACGTCCTTTCTCCTGTCCCCCATCCTCGGCTCCTCTCTAGGTCTTCTTTCTGTCTATGTTCTGAATACCACTTTAGGGTTAGCATCTCGTATGGCTGATGAGAATTGGTTGTGTACTGCGAAAGCATGTCATAGTATGAACTGGACAACAAAGCAAATCATTAACGTATGTTAGGAAACAAGCCGACCCTCCCGTGAACTCTGTACATTCTGAACTGTTGCTCTCAGTAAGGCTCATCACTCGGCTATGTCCCTACAGAGCCATCTGGCCATGCTGGGCTTCAGGAATAATTATTGGGCATGGAGTATCCTTCTTCTGTGCATTACCCTGCTGTCTCCTGCTGGGGCATTTTGGCTCCTGGATGTCCTTTTTCCTCCTGGTATCACACCCAAAGTGGCTCTGAGCAACAACAGCTCTCCAGTGGTGCTGGGTAAGACATTTTCCCTTCTTCATTCAATGTATTTCTAGGCCAAGGAGGGGGAGGCTGCTAGATATTGGGAAGACTGTTGTGGGTATTATTGTGACATGATTGTTATTCATTATGGGAGAGGGTCCGTGCACATTTCTCACTCACAATATCATTAAGCAGAAGCGCTTCACGTCATTCATTGCTCATGTCATGTCAATCTCCCATGGGTCCCTTTGTTCTGTATGTGGGGCCATCCAATGTACATATTCACCATGTGGCTCCACGCTTGCTAGCTTCCTCCGGTCCGGGCTGTGATTTGTAGTCCCTCTACAGCTTGGAGTCAGTGGTGGAGTGCCAGGACCTGGTTGCAGCTGTGACCCCGGTAGATCTGCCACTGACTCCGAGCTGTAGAGGGACTACAAATCTCAGCAATCAGGGAAGCACCGATAACGTTTTTTCGGTATAGGGTACCAATATTTTCTTTCCGGTGCTCGCCGATACGAAATACCGATACCGGAAGTCCCGTTCAGGAAGCCAGCGAAGTGTAAAGACTCATCACCCGGCTTCACAATTAGGGTCCGGCTTCCTCGTCACCATGTGATGTTACCGGCTTTCTTGCCAATCAGGAAGCCGGCGGGGGG